GCTTGGGCCTCTCTCCTGGAGGCGCTCAGTCAGACCCAGTGTTGACATGTGGCAAGACGCTCCTCTGGGCGCGTCTTGCTTGGGCTTCTCTCCTGGAGGCCCTCAGTCAGACCCATTGTTGACATGTGGCAAAACGCTCCTCGGGGCACGTCTTGCTTGGCCCTCTCTCCTGGAGGCGCTCAGTCAGACCGAGTGTTGACATAAGGCAAGACGCTCCTCGGGGCGCGTCTTGCTGGGGCCTCTCTCCTGGAGGTGCTCAATCAGACCCAGTGGTGACACGTGGCAAGACGCTCCCCGGGGCGCATCTTGCTTGGGCCTCTCTCCTGGAGGCGCTAAGTCAGACCCAGTGTTGACACGTGGCAAGACGCTCCTCGGGGCGCGTCTTGCTTGGGCCTCTCTCCTGGAGGCGCTCAGTCAGACACAGTGTTGACATGTGGCAAGACACTCCTCGGGGCGCGTCTTGCTTGGGCTTCTCTCATGGAGGCCCACAGTAAGACCCATTGTTGACATGTGGAAAGAAGCTCCTCGGGGCGCGTCTTGCTTTGGCTTCTCTCCTGGAGGCCCTCAGTCAGACCCATTGTTGACATGTGGCAAGACGCTCCTCGGGGCGCGTATTGCTTGGGCCTCTCTCTTGGATGCCCTCTGTCAGACCCAGTGTTGACATGTGGCAAGACTCTCCTCGGGGCGCGTCTTGCTTGGGCTTCTCTCATGGAGGCCCTCAGTCAGACCAAGTGTTGACATGTGTCAAGACGCTCCTCGGGCCGTGTCTTGCTTGGGCCTCTCTCTTGGATGCCCTCTGTCAGACCCAGTGTTGACATGTGGCAAGACGCTCCTCGGGGCGCTTCTTGCTTGGGCTTCTCTCCTGGAGGCCCTCAGTCAGACCCATTGTTGACATGTGGCAAGACGCTCCTCGGGGCACGTCTTGCTTGGGCCTCTCTCCTGGAGGCGCTCAGTCAGACCGAGTAGTGACATGTGGCAAGACGCTCCTCGGGGCGCGTCTTGCTGGGGCTTCTCTCATGGAGGCACTCAGTCAGACTCAGTGTTGACATGTGGCAAGACGCTCCTCGGGGCGCGGGTTGCTTGGACCTCTTTCCTGGAGGCGCTCAGTCAGACCGAGTAGTGACATGTGGCAAGACGCTCCTCGGGGCGCGTCTTGCTGGGGCCTCTCTCCTGGAGGCGCTCAGTCAGACCCAGTGTTGACATGTGTCAAGACGCTCCTCGGGCGTTTCTTGCTTGCGCCTCTCTCCTGGAGGCGCTCAGTCAGACCCAGAGGTGACATGTGGCAAGACGCTCCTCGGGCCTCTCTCCTGGAGGCGCTCAGTCAGACCCAGTGTTGACATGTGGCAAGACGCTCCTCGGGGCGCGTCTTGCTTGGGCCTCTCTCCTGGAGGCGCTCAGTCAGACCGAGTGCTGACATGTTGCAAGACGCTCCTCCGGGCGCGTCTTGCTTGGGCCTCTCTCCTGGAGAGGCTCAGTCAGACCCAGTGTTCACATGTGGCAAGACGCTCCTCGGGGCGCGTCTTGCTTGGGCCTCTCTCCTGGAGGCGCTCATTCAGACCCAGTGTTGACATGTGGCAAGACGCTCCTCGGGGCGCGTCTTGCTTGGGCCTCTCTCCTGGAGGCGCTCAGTCAGACCGAGTGCTGACATGTGGCAAGACGCTCCTCGGGGCGCATCTTGCTAGGGCTTCTCTCCTGGAGGCCCTCAGTCAGACCCAGTGTTGACATGTGGCAAGACGCTCCTCGGGGCGCGTCTTATTTGGGCCTCTCTTCTGGGGGCCCTCAGTCAGACCCAGTGTTGACATGTGGCAAGACGCTCCTCGGGGCGCGTCTTGCTTGGGCTTCTCTCCTGGAGGCCCTCAGTCAGACCCATTGTTGACATGTGGCAAGACGCTCCTCGGGGCACGTCTTGCTTGGGCCTCTCTCCTGGAGGCGCTCAGTCAGACCGAGTAGTGACATGTGGCAAGACGCTCCTCGGGGCGCGTCTTGCTTGGACCTCCCTCCTGGAGGCGCTCAGTCAGACCGTGTAGTGACATGTGGCAAGACGCTCCTCGGGGCGTGTCTTGCTTGGACCTCTCTCCTGGAGGCGCTCAGTTAGACCGAGTAGTGACATGTGGCAAGACGCTCCTCGGGGCGGGTCTTGCTTGGGCCTCTCTCCTGGAGGCGCTCAGTCAGAACTGGAAGATATGTTGCGTCATAAGCCTCTGATGGTTCACCAGGTGCACGGTCCCCTCGAAATCCTAATGCTGTATTTGTAGTACATACACTAAGTCTTCTCTGTTGATGTCAGACTAGAGTTTTATTAGAGTTTTACTTTGCAACAATGGGATTCGAGCAATTGATGTGTATATTTTTAATAGTGCACAATGCTACTATTCCTAGGCTGAATGTATGACATGGCTCTTATGTATCATTATGTATCGTTTCCATTAAGTACAAATTTAAATAAAGTCCCTCTGTCCTCAGTGCTAGGTTGTGGGTTTAATACACATTATTATGATCAACCTGTTGAATAGTATAAGCCCCATACAATGTGACGGTCCATGTGACGGACCGGTGTGTTACGACCCGACTAACGAAACGTACCAGGTGATAACATTGCATCTGCCCATTACAGCGGAGCGAGCGTTTTGCCACACTACGAAACCAAGGTTAATAGTTGTAGCGCACGCCCTTTCGGACCTCGGTGTACGCGAAACACTGGTGTACACTCACAACATCACGCTCGAGACAGCTCAAGCGTTACGCGAAACAAAGGATGTGTTCAAATCCATAGAGAATATACGGTCTTTAGCGTATGCGTATATAAAGAAGGTCGATGACATTTACAGACCCGGCGGCGTGGGCACCACAGTAGAACAACAAGGTGCTCTCAAGCGCACACAGATACTGGCCGCATTATCACTCGCGATGTCTATCCTGCCATACCCGTTTCTGATTTCTATGTATATTAAATTATGACAAGAGCTACTTTAGGTGGTTACGATTACACTCTGACCACGTGCCTTAGTTTCTGCTAGTGACCTATAAATACATTTGCCCACTTGCTCTCACTGCCATTAAAGCGGCTGTACCCACACGTACAACACCCAAGAAAAAAAATTGATCTCGCTGTCTGTACTGGGTGTACTCTCAGTAGTCGCAGTTGCTCAGGCCATGGTGGTACGCTCACATAACGCCTCTGAGATACGTTCCATCACACCACCTCCTAGACTACTCGCGAAGGAGTATTCAACACCCCCTTTGTACGAAGACAACCATTATAACGAGCACAGCACAACGCTTGCCGCACGCGAAGACAACATGCAGGAGACAACGCTACCACCTGTCGTGAGAACAACGGATTCGAGTGACAACGATCGCGACTATGACGAGCACATTACAACACCCTCTGTGCACGAAGACCAGGTGCAGGAGACAACGCTACCACCTGTCGTGAGAAACAAGAGTTTGGTTAACAATGATCATCGTCGTGTCCCATTGTAAACGGGCGCGCCATCGCACACATCGTACATGTGTGTTAACCCACCTGTATGCGACAGACTTTGTGTGTTGCATGACATCGAGATGTATTGACGTCTGTGTCAATACAGGACTCTCTATAAGCCAGGAGCTGGACGCTAACGACCCGTGCATGCGCCACACAAAAGGTATCGTACATGTGTTAACCCACCTGTATGCGACAGACTTTGTGTGTTGCATGACATCGAGATGTATTGACGTCTGTGTCAATACAGGACTCTCTAAGCTGGGAGCTGGACGCTAACGACCCGTGCATGCGCCACACAAAAGGTAACTTGACTAACTACAAAACGCATATTGTGATGTAGAAAGTTGGCTCGACTGTTTGAATCAGCTGCAGCTGCGGTTTACTCACGAAGTGAATCGCACGCTTGTTAGAAGTACATTCGGAGCACTTAAAAAATACATCGCTCTCATCGAGTTCCGTCTCAGCATTCACCGGCTGATGGGCAAGAGCGTGACATGGGATCGCCAGGAACTTACTTAAGGACTATCATCTCATTTGGCATTTACTCACGGACCCAAGAAACCAGTTCCGAAAAATGGTCGAGAATTATAACTTGTCTAATAGCAACTGGAAGATATGTTGCGTCATAAGTCTCTGATGGTTCACAAGGTGCACGGTCCACTCGAAATCCTAATGCTGTATTTGTAGTACATACACTAAGTCTTCTCTGTTGATGTCAGACTAGAGTTTTATTAGAGTTTTACTTTGCAACAATGGGATTCGAGCAATTGATCTGTATATTTTTAATAATGCACAATGCTACTATTCCTAGGCTGAATGTATGACATGGCTCTTATGTATCATTATGTATCGTTTCCATTAAGTACTAATTTAAATAAAGTCCCTCTGTCCTAAGTGCTAGGTTGTGGGTTTAATACACATTATTATGATCAACCTGTTGAATAGTATAATAACAATATTCCTGTAAAAGTCATTTAGTAATGAACAACCTCAGTTCTGTGAAAGCACATCATGTCTCTGATGTGTACACTGCAGACCTGACCGGGGTTTTCACGCAAGGGCCTGTGTGTGTGTGTGTGTGTGTGTGTGTGTGTGTGTGTGTGCACTTGTGTATCTATCTAACAGGGGACTTCGGTGTCATTACACATTCACCAACAGTGGACCATCAAGCCAAAAGGGGTCATTTTTTAGGTCCCCTCTTGGACATGCTTTAAATCATGTTAAAATCATGTCAAAACCCATCAGGAGAATTTTTATCATTTTAGCCAACAGGGGACCTGAAAGTGTGTGAGTGTTAAAGTGTATGTACACCAGCGCCCCTGCAGGCTGGAGATGGGATTTTAATGACCTATTCACACACATCACTTTTCACACTCCCCATAACCCAGGCCCCTGGCAGCCTTTCAGACCGCAAAATTACTGTCAAACAGGCTACAAATCAAACAAATCAGTATATTGAAACAAAATTAGGCATTTTTGGTAAGAAAGTGTCCAATAACTAAACCAACTGCTGTTTGAGATGGTTTACTGTTCAATAAACATGCATTTAAAAAGACAAGAAAAATAAAATAAAAAAACAGACAAGTATCAGCATGGGAAGAGTTAGTGATTGAAAAGGCAATACTGCATAATGCATTTTATTGTTGAGATTTACAACAGAAAGAAGGTCCACACTTGGCTGTATGGAATGACATCGGTCCACTGTCGGCTGGTAAATAATAACACAAGCTCCCACTCAAATAACATAGGGCGATATACACATTCCAGAGTTGGTCATTTAAAAATGAATCAAGCTAAATGGAAAACATAAGAAAATATTCAAGACCATTTCTTTCTGTCTTTACATTAATAACTAAAAACTAATTTACCGTTCACTCTTTTAGGATCCCTTAATCTCCTTGGCTTGTTTTTAAAAGCAATGTTTCACACAGAAATCCCCAAATTTGTTTCTTCTTTAGTAGTGATTAAATATAATTTTGTTTTGTAAAAACAGTGTCCAATAACTAAACCAGAATAACTGCTGTTTGAGAAAGTTTGTTCTGCAATTACTCTTCAATTAACATGCATTGAAAAGACAAGAAAATATTAAAAAAACAGACAAAGTTTCAGCATGGGAAGAGTCAGTGATTGAAAAGGCAAAACTGCATAATGCATTTTATTGTTTTTAAAACCAAAATAAAGGTCCACACTTGGCTGTATGGAATGACATCGGTCCACTGTCAGTTGGTACATAATAACACAAGTTCCCACTCAGTTACCATAGGGCAATATACACATTCCAGAGTTGGTCATTTAAAAAAGAATGAAGCCGGCGGCCGGCTGCAGTTTTGTGTGTAGGGAGGGGTGGGCACTCTATGTGACTGGCCAATCACAGAGCATGAAGACAGTCAGTTACCCAATGAAGATTTTCCTTCAGCATGATTACAGATATTTACGAGTTTTACTCGTTTCATGCTCGTATTCGTCAAAAATGCTTCATCCCTAATTTAAACCCTCTTAGTTCTGTCTGTCTTGTCAGTTCATTGTTTCCATGTCCTGCGTGCATTTATCATTAAAGACCTTTTACATGTTCCAGTTTGTCTGCCTGCCTGCTTCCTCCCCAGCATTTGGATCCTCACAACCGCTCAACTCACATGCACCATGACACAATTACTCTTCAATTAACATGCATTGAAAAAGACAAGAAAAAATATTTAAAAAACAGACAAGTATCAGCATGGGAAGAGTCAAAGATTGAAAACGAAATTTTGCATAATGCATTTTATTGTTTTTACAACCAAAAAATGGTCCACACTTGGTTGTATGGAATTACATCGGTCCACTGTTGGCTGGTACATAATAACACAAGTTTCCACTCAGTTAACATAGAGTGATATACACATTCGAGAGTAGGTAATTAAAAAAAAAACGGAAAGCATAAGAAAATATTTAAAATATATGCAGCTAATGTGCAGTGTTACTTTACAAACTGGCAATGTTGTCACTGCTATTTAAACTGTGAAATGCAAATAAAAAACTGAAGCAATATTTAACTATTGTAGATATGAAGACAATGTGTTACTAAAAATAATAAGTAAAGAAAAATACATGAGGTAATAGGAGTCATCAGTTTCTCTGGAATTCAAAGGATAACTCAGGGAGAGTACTGTTTAACTTCTTAAAGCTTAGTGTTAAACTATCGCAACAATGTCTACAGTCTCCAAGGATATACATGCATTATTAATATAGATTTAAAAAATTGTGAATTTTTACTGATTAAAAACTGTAACATGTGTTAGCAAATTGAGAAGGCACATTTGATGGATCCATTTGAATTTACATAAAATGACCAATTGTTTGTACACTGATTTCTCTTAAGAACTTAGGGTTACTGGTTTTGTTATTGTTAGCACAAAGACCTCCTCATAGCAGTAATTTTGTTGTGCACAAAATATTTTACTGCTTTCCAGTCTCTTCCTTTATCCCTCAGAAGCTGATTGTCATTTAGGCATTCTTGACACTCTGCTTTTCCTGGAATTTTCATTTCCTTTAGAAAGTTCTTGAAATGCTCGTCAATGACTTCTCTCTCAGTCTCTGACCAGGGCTTCTTGGGTTTCCCTGTTAGTAAATTAACAAGAGAAAGTAATAAATGGATTAATAAAAATCACGCACAATCTGGTCAACAAATGTCAAGATATTCAATTTAGATTTATTACTATATAGGTTAGGGAACCCTGGTTCTGGAGAGCCGTTATCCAGCATGTTTTAGAGGTTTCCCTGCTTCAACAAACCTGATTTCAATCAGCAGGTGATTAACATGCTTCTGTAGAGTCTGATGAGCTGCTGAACAGGTTATTCAACTGTGTTGAAGCAGGGAAACCTCTAAAATGTTCTGGATAGCGGCTCTCCAGGACCGGGGTTCCCTACCTCTGCCTTATACAGAGTGAAATGAGTAACTCACTTAAAAAACTGTCAGCAATTCAAGGTAAAAAAAAAAAAAAAAACATTGCTAAGCTTTGTATTAAACAAGAAAAAACTAATGGAGATTGAAAAGAAACAGAACATAAGGAGTAACTCACCCTTTTTAAGCAATGGCACTGATGATTTTTTAATGCCCCCAGTAGCCTTTTTTGATTCAGCTGTGCTCTCTTTGCAGGGTCTATCCTTTGAAATTTCTGAAAAAAGCACTGTTGGCAAATGTTAAGTTGTTAACATGGGATGAAATTGACTTAATGATTTACAAACAGTGGATTTAACCCTTTAAGACCGGCGGGAGTGCCGGCGCTACCGTTTGCAAATCTGTGTTCAAATGCTTGTAAAACTAAAACTATTAAGATAGAACAAAACTTTTTTTTTTGCATATTAAACCGGAGTTACACTTAAATCTCACACACTGAATATGTCCCAGAGTGCTGCGTATTTCTGCTAATGAGTTTGCAAAAAACAACCAAAATGCGCAAATAAGAAAAGCGTTTTCATTCAGACACTGACGCTGTGCCTTTCTGATCTGCAGCTCACGGGGCGTCACACGCTAGAATAAACATCATCACGTTGTCAACGTGAACTGTCACATGATTATCACTCTCCAAATCGTTTGCTTTGACGTAATTTTCCAGCGAATTGTAGTTCTTTGTAGTCCCAGTTTTTCGGCTTTTTTCTTGTGCTTTTTCACAATAATACGTTTAGACAAACACATCCTACACACATCACACACCCATTACAAACTTCTGACACATACACACACCACTACGAACGTTTTGATGAATCACAGTCTCACCAAACGGTACATCCTCCCTCCTCAAAGCAGATGACGCCATTACAGCGCCAGAGGATTTTTAAGTTTCACTTTCAGTTTCCTCACATATATATTCATGCAATATTCTTTATTATTGTTATTATTATTAGTGAGAGAAAAGGAAAACTATATACTACTGAAAAATTAGCTAAAAATATTCAACATTATTATATTAGACTCCTGCAGATTATTATTATTTATGTTTTCATTTTTGTTACAGTTCATATAAATGAGTGTATCTCGGAAACTATTTTATGGAAGCTCTTCAAATAAATTTTTGGTTGTTTGAAACGTTTCTGTGAAACTTTTTTCCATTGACAATTTTGAGGGATAAAGCTGTGGTATTTCTGTATAATGAAAAATATGTGTAAAAACAAAAAACAATTATCAATTTCTGTATAGATAATTGCATTTTTTAGGAAAATATTTTGTTGCTATGAACAATTTATATTTTAGAATGTTAGGGTTGTATTGATGTATAGAAAGTTGAAATACAGCAAAAATTGGCACCACAGCATATAAAAATGTAAATATAAGTTCTGGCGAACTTGTTCTATTGCAGGTCTTAAAGGGTTAATGATTTTAATTTACCATTATTACAGTGAATATAGTGGAAAAACTTACCTTTTTGACATGTGGTAGCAGTTGCCTCACATTGTGCATCTCCATCTGAATCACTTGATTCTTTTTCAGCTGCAATAAAATGTTTTAAGTAAATAATTAAACACACATATTTTAAACAAAGTATTCACCTTATGTTATCTAATAATACATTAAGAAAAAAATGTAATCATTCACTTACAGTCGATGTTAGGTGTGATGTCTTCCAGGGATTTTCCTTTGAATTTACCCATTCCACCTTGCAGAGCATAAAGAAGTCTACTGACTTTTGTCAGTTGGAGCGTTTCTTCAGGTAGTCTGTAAAACTCCCTATGCACATCAATATTATGTCCCATAAAAGTGGCCAGTTGGTCTAGTTCATGGTTTTGCAGGTTAAGGAGCTGTGAAATCGTGGCTACATGCTTTCGTAGTTTTGTTGATGTGAGATTTTCCGGCTGTTTAGCTCCACAACTTTCTGCAAACCGCTTCAAGCTATCACATCCACGAATGCTCTCTTGTGAGCCATAAAACGGACGGGCAAAAATGTAGGGATTAGTGGGGGAAATCCCAGCCTCTTTTCTTGTTTTTATAAGAAGTTCCACAGATTCTTTTATATTTAATGGGAACAGCACAGGTACTTTGCGGCCTCTTTTCCCTCGTACCTCCACCCTGATGAGATTCTCACAAAGTTTTTTTTCAAATGGCGAGAGGCTCTCCAAAATGTCATCATGCATGTTGTGTTTGTTCCTCTGTAAATATGTGTTGAGTTCCATTCTTGAAACTTCACCTTCTCGGCGACGATTGAACAGTATCAGTTGTGTGAGAGTGATTTGAGATAACTCACTCCAAGATTTTTGTGATGGTTGGTCAGAAAGATTTTTTTTGTGGACCACCTCAAGGCATTTTAGGTAGTCCTGAAGTTTTTTTATGTCTCCTGACAAAGGCAGTATTTGAGGGCTGTTCCATTTTTTCTGGTATAGAGTTTTTAGGGCATTGGATGACACATGTGTTGTCCATTCCAGTTCAATTAGCTTGATAAATTGCTCTGCTTTTGACTTTAAATCATCATCCTGTTGACGCAGGGCCTCTCCTTGCAAAATGTATGACACTTTCACAAGAGAATGGCGAAGTTTAAGGGCTGTTGAGGGCACTGAGAATCTGTTTGATAATTCATTAAACCCAGTCATCTGTTTTACAGCCTCAAGGACTGTGTTGAATTTTCCAGGGCAGATCAAGTCCTTCAAAAAAATGATGTCCTTGTCTAGATTTCTTGCAATAAGAACAAGTCTGGCGAGTTCCCTCATTTTATTTCTGATGTCTGCTCGATGTCGTCCAACTTCTCCATTTTTAAGGAACATTCTCTCTCCCAGTGATATAATAAGGGTGTCAGCCTTTACTAACTGAGTTACATTATCATACGTCATTTCCTGGAGAACAGTTTTAAGACCATTGGAAACTGTGTTCTCCATTGGTAACATCAGTGAACAACTTGCCTGGATCCTTCTTTTCACAGCCTTGTCCTCGTTTACTTGCAGTCTACAACGCTTGTGGTGTCTCCAGAGATCGGTCTTGATGTACATGGCAAAACAAAACTTGCAAGGCAGGTAGTCTGTTGCACCTGATGGATAAGTTGCTTGCCTTTTTGGTATAATTTGTCCTTTTCCAGAGGACAGGACAGAACAGTTGTGGTTATAGTTTCCCATGTTTCTTACTTTGGTCAAAAGTAAGCAGTGCATGGCTGATCCTTTCTTGTGCGCAAGTGCCTTGGCGACATCAGGTTTATCTGAATGCTTTTGCTTCAGATGTCTTGTGATTTTTGTGTAAGGCTTTTCACAGTAAAGGCAATAATTCTTCTTATCGTAGACACGTTGGTGTGCAGTGTTTGAAGACATTTTTACTGTGACGTTATGTTGTTGAGAGTCGTGTGAAGACTGTTTGATTTTATACGGTGGTTTTCCAGAGATGACTTCCTTTCCTTTCATTTGTTCTTCTGATTGTTTATCGTCTTCTACTTCTTCATCTGACATTTGCAGAGAAAAGGCAACCTGTTCCTTGGTGGTCTGGGGGGAAAAAAGTATTATTTTGCAAATAATAAAATGATAATACATGCATCAACATTTCACAGTTAATATATTCTTCACAATATATTCTTCACCACTGTTTAGATATTCAAACCATTAATTACCATTTCACACTCAGAAAAGTCCTCCCCTGAGACAGAAGATGAAGTCAACAGGTTACTTCCAGTAATCTCAGGTTGATCACTGACATTATCCTCATCAATGTCTATCTCATCTGTTTTCTGAGGACAGCAATTTGCTGTATGGGTTCCAATCTGTAACAACAAATATTAGTGGATCAATTCTTATATCAAGTGACAGTGAAAATGTAGGCATTGGAATAAACAGTAAAACAAAATCTCTACTGTAGCAAAATTGTTGGTGTGTTACAGTAAATGAACCTAATATTGCCCAAGCCACTTGTAAAAACATACTTTATTTTGATTCTCATTCTCAGCCTTGTTCATTGTTCCAGTACCAGCAGACCGATGTGTCAAACCTGAAATAAATTAAAATAAGGTTAATCAACTTTCATGGAAATGATTTAAGATGGTGTTTTCCAATCTATAAAACATTAAATTTAAAATTATGGTACTTACACGTGACAGCCTTAAGACATTCTTCGATGGTGGGACGTTCTTCAAGTGACCTACTTAGCATCCTGGTAATAATACCTTTTTGGCTGCTCCATTTTTCCTCAAATTGAAGAGTGAAGTTGCCCATTCTGACATTTTGAGATAGTCCAATGGGATCGTCAGAGTAGGGTAATCTACTTTGAAAGGGATGTTGTCCATCGGTCAAGATGTAATGCAGCAAGCAACCAGCTACCTAAAATGTAACAAAATACATCAAAACAATGTAATTAACAATCACAATGACAGCTCTTTGCATTATGTAATTTGCACAAAACTAGCCATATTGAACATAGTGAATAACAATAATTATAATTAAAACATTTGATTAAATATAGGGATGAGCCGTACACTCATTTCAGACGAGTATCCGGTACGGATAAAGCATTTTTGATGAGTACGAGCATGAAACGAGTAAAACTCGTAAATATCTGTAATCGTGCTGAAGGAAAATCCTCATTGGGTAACTGACTGTCTTCACGCTCTGTGGTTGACAGTGTTGGGCAAGTTACTTCAAAACTGTAATGCATTATTTATTACTTTTTACCTTTATTTTAAAGTAATTCATTACATTACAATATTACTGATTTTAAAATGTAAGGCATTACACTACTTTTGCATTACTCTAAGTTACTTTGAACAAAACAACGTCAGTATGAGTTTGGTAATCTGATGCCTGGTGAACTCATGACACATCCGGTGGAAGGTGATGTGGTGTCTGAGCTAGGATTGCTGTTAAAAACAGTCAGATATAATAACAGTGCTTTAAAATGATTGTTTATTAAATAAAAGCAACAACAATCTGTACTCTCGGCATGCTGCCATCTTAGATTAACTGAGCAGCGAGTGAGGTGGTGGGGGCTCCAAGCCTATATTTGCCTTGGTTCCCAAATGCTTGATACGGCCCTGGATGTGGGACTGACTTCTGGGGTGATCTGATTCTATCACATGTATAAATATTAAATGCTTATATATTATTGCTTTTCACTGGTAAAAATGTGTGCTGGGGATAAATCTACCTACTTTTTTTTCTTTTCAAGCACTTTGTTTTGTTTTCTTGATTTTCTTTGAATCATTTCCGGCCTTTTCTCTCTCTAACCTTCCTGCCTGCTGCAGGTTTTCTCCGTCTTCCAGAAAACCCGTTTCCTAGATTTCCTACTTTCTAACTAATCAGCCAAAAGGATCTTCACATGTGCGGCGCTCCAGCAGCAATGTTGAAATCACCGGAGCCCAGATGAACTCAGCTGAGGCAAAGCACATCAGAAAAGTACAGAATACCAGAGAATATGCGCTGATATGAACGATCGCAAGTGAATTATTTTGTTTTAGTGGAGCGATTTTGTGAATGTTACAGCGGCCGCGTGCAGGATGCAGCTGGAGTATTTGAGCCGTTACCGTTGCGTCCTCTCTGCCCGCAAAGCTGAGTCCATTAATGATGTCATATATGCAGATACTGGAACTTTTTCCGGGTTTCCCGCAATTTGAATTTTTAAGAAACACAGCTTGATTCTGGGTTTAAAAATGCATTGTAATTACCGCGTTACTGACAATTGTACCGAGTAAATATTACCATTTTCTTTCCCTGTAATGCCTTACATTACCACATTACAGCAAAAACCAATGCATTACAGTAATTAATTACATTTGTACCGCGTTACTCCCAACACTGGTGGTTGACCAGTCACATGGAACACCCGCCCCTCCCTACACACAAAACTCTGTAGCCGGGAGCAACACTGCGCATCCATGCACACACACAGACAGTAACGGATTTCTCTGTTTTTGCTTCACTGTTGCTCACGTTTCTTCAGTACTCCCTAGGGGTTCTTTAGCTCGCCTCTTTTTTGGTTTAATATTTGAAGTAGCTTTTTTCGTAACGTAGGTGGTGCATTTGACAAAACAGAACTGAAAACAGCTCATGCTGCGCCAATCACTGCCTCCGCTCCGGTCTGGGTTTTTTTTTTTACACTCACTCTCTCCCTCTCTGTATCTCTCTCACACACACACTTTAATCAACATTGTTTTTAAGGATGAGCGAGTACACCACTATCTGTATCTGTTCAACCATCTAAATTATCTGTCCTCGGAGTGGGCGTGGTTCAACCGGAAGTGGGTGTGGTTTACATCAATACGTTATTTTATGTCTGATCAGAAGTTGCCATGTGTATTGTTTATTTGAAAACCATTTACAGAGCAGCCTCAGAGTTGAGATTAAATGTTTTTGATCACAATAGTAAAGGAACTATTACAGAACAAGTTTTTCAATAAAATCAGAACATTAATATTTAAGTGCATAGATTAAGAGAGAGAGAGAAGAAAAGATCTTTTCTATAGCGCCTCTCAAGATAAAAATCACAGGGCGCTTCACAAAAACAAAACATGTAAAATAGAAAAAATCATTTAGAAAATGTTTAAAATATATTTAAAATGTGCAAAAAATAGACAATTGTGATTAAAAATGTAAAGAAAGAGAGAGAGTGAATAGGAAAGAGGGAGTGGATCCTCCAAAGGAAGAGGAGAGAGAGAGGGGGGAAAAAGAACCCCTACTGGAGCGGAAGCAGTGGCTGACGCAGCACGAGCCGTTTTCAGCTCTGTCTTGTCAAATGCACCACGTACGTTAAGAAAAAAATAACTTTAAAGTAACTTTAAAAAGAAGCAAACTGAAGAAACATAGGGAGTACTGAAGAAACGTGAACAGTGAAGCAAGCACAGAGAGATCCGTTACTGTCTGTGTGTGTGCGTAGATGAACCGGACACGGACTGAGCAGAGCTCCCGGCTGCAGTTTTGTGTGTAGGGAGGGGCGGGCTCTCTATTTTACTGGCCAATCTGTTTAATCAAAATAAAAAGTTGTGTCTGGTTCTAGTCTTTCATATTTCCTAGTTCCTACTGCATGAGTTCAGATGTATTAATACATGCAATTAAATAGTAATGTTCTGATTTTATTGAAAAACTTGTTTTGTAATAATTCCTTTACTATTGTGATCAAAATATTTTATTTAAACTCTGAGGCTGCTCTGTAAATAGTTTTCAAATAAACAATATGCATAGCAACTTCTGATCAATCCATATCAATATCAGGCTTAAAAATAATGTATTGATGTAAACCACACCCACTTCCGGTTAAACTACACCCACTTCCGGGTTAGGCCACGCCCACTCCGAGTACAGATATAGGTGATTTAGGTGGTTGAACAGATACAGATACAGACAGTGGTGTACTCACTCATCCCTAATTAAATACTTTGAATATTTACAAATGGGCATTTTACCATGGTGTAATTCTATTATTACATTTGAAGAAATCCAAACACTTGCTGATTATGGATCAAAATAAACCATCATATAACATTTACAAGGTGAACATACTTGGATATCTGATTCCTTCTTGTATCTATACTTTAGACCTCCAACATCCTCATAACTGGACCAGGAAAAGGATCCAGCCATTTGTGAAAACAACGTTGTCTGTGCAAGATCCAGTTTCCTGCTTGCTCCAAAGTCTCCAATGTAAAGTTTATTGTTGATATCTGTACAAAAAAGAAAAAAAAGGTCATTTACTAATTCAAACATTGAACCGTAAAATCATTCAAACTAACATTTTGATCTTTTACATTTATAAGTAAAAATAACAGGATAGTTTTGCCATGACATTTCTTTTACCAAACAAGATGTTTTCAGGCTTCAAATCTCTGTGCAAAATTCCATGCGAGTGCAGTTCCTCAAGTCCCAGCAATAACTCTTGGCAGATCTGTAGTCTTCGCTGCTCTGTCAAGTTTTGTCTCTCAGGAAAATCTTTATTTTCAATCAGTTCCATGAGATTATATTCGCAGAGATGGGAGACGAAGTAGGCAAAGTATGTGTCTTTCAACACAGTAAGGGGCTGCAACAGATGTTCAGTTTGTAACTTTTCTGAACAAAGAAAATTTGCTATTTCCAATTCCTTTTCACAAACGTGTTTAGCAACTCGTTTAACTGCCACAAGGCAGTTGTGAAAGACTCCTGGAAACACTTCTGCTGCATTGCATCCATTTGCAATCTTCTGTTTTTGGTTGAATACAAGGCCATCAATTTTCACCACACCAGGCTCAGAGTCAAAAATTTCGAGAAATCTCCTCCAACGGGATTCCTTAAAAATTAAAGAAACAATCGAACAATAGAAAAACATGAGAATATGAAAAGCATACAATTGTTTAAACATAATAGGATTTTTTTTCTGTGTATAGACATGGAGGCAAAAAACCTCCACATAGCTTCACCTTCTTTTCCATGTGCTCACTACAAGGAGACACAGAGGTTTTCTAAAAAAAAAAGAAGAAGAAGAAAAAAGACATTTACAGTATGAAATTAAAATATGTAATTTTATTTTACTCATTGATAAGCTTTAGAAAGCATTTTAAGTGTTTCAATGTATTTAATAAATACATTTATACCAGTTTCTAAAACACATTTACAATATCACTAATGTTAAGAGATGACAATGGTGTAATCCTTGAGACTAATGGCATATAATAAAACATGCAATGGATAAAAACAATGGATGTAAATAAAAATATAAATACCTGTCGCCATGAGCAGTTAGAGTCTCCATAGTCATAAACAACTTCTTCTCCTGCTAGTATTTCTTTGATTGCAAATGCACACAGGTGGGGTCTTTTCTGCTCATCCAGTACCTTTGGACCAAAAAGGAACAGACAGAAATGAATTAGTCAGCATATTGTTTGAAATGTTTTTACATAACACTTCTGTGTTTCTTACTATTTTCACTTTGCTGTTTGGCTTGATGTGATCGTCATTCATGAATCGTCCAAGTCTTGCCGTATCTTTACTGCCATCAACACTGCAAATCAGGACTTCTTACTTACAGTTATTGATGAACTTGTTCTAGTTCTAGTTAGGAGGTTCGTGTAATTGTACTTACCAAAAAGTTTCTCCTTGGAAGCAGTAGAAAAACAAAAATGCTGCATCCACGTCTGAGTAACGTTTATACAGGGCCTCTCCTTCCAACCCAGTGATATGTTTTCCAACATACTCCAGCAAGAATTCTCCTGGATCAATATTTTTAGTGGCAATAACACCATAACCTGAAAAATATGATGAGAGTAGCAGTGATCTTTGCATTTAAGAACTGACAAGAATGCAGATATGTACATATACTTCCCACAGTGTGTCTTTAAACTACTCAAACTTTACAAGTTATACACATAATATGAACAGAAAATCTTATTCTTAAAGAGCAAATTGCAAGTAAAGCCCCCTTCAGACAGGCCATGAAAAACGGAAATGTTCCAGACTCTGTCCGTAAGACCTTTGTGTCTGAATACAAACATCTGGATAACGTGTCCCGGAATTTATCCGGACGAAGCCCCTAGTAACAGGTCCGGACTTGTTACGGACAAGGTGGCTGCTTCAGACTGGTGAGGTAGAGTTCCGGACAGGGAGGAGGGGGAGGAGGAGGGGACCGGGGGACGCTGTGCACACCTGGATAGCTCGCTGCTGTATAACATGCGGCGAACCCGGCGAACCATGGCACCTCGTCTGTGGAAAGCCAAAACCACCGAAATACTCCACTTTCCCAATGTCTAGTTAAGAGATGGCGACATTTTGGCCTTCCATACAAGCCTCCTACGGTACCGTCTAGACGCGCAACGGAGCGCATCACACCGCTTCCGTGATTCCTTTTAACCATTGAGCTTCATCATCCAGGTCTCTTATGCGTCTTCGTGTGCACAGAATTATGCTTAACATAAGTCCAATCAGTGAGAGGAATTCTATCTCTTCCATGTTTGACTGAATGGCTTTGTTTGGGTAAATGACGCATGTGCGCCCGCTGCACTATGCACCCCCCCCCCCCCCCCCCCCCCCGTCAGACATCTGGAACTTTTCCCTGCTGTGTGAATGCAGCCGAAAGGACAAGTTCCGGTACAAAAGTGGTGTGTCTGAAAACACAGTTCCGGTTAAAAACCGGATTGAATTGTCCACAAATGTTCCAGAATGTCTATCTGAAAAGGGCTTTAGAGACGCCCATGAACCACTGTTCAGAGAAATATAAGAGACACTTGTTTAAAAAAATGTTTTACCCATACATTAATTATTTAAGCATTGAGTCATTTATGTAAGGAACGCTGACGTCATTAGGTCCGTTTTAGGAGGGCTTCAGGAATTGACTTCAAGGGGGCACTTCTCCTCTTGCCATCCATCTTCAAGGAGAAGATAGAAGATTTCATCATCCTTGGACAGGTAAATGCATGATGCCATGCATAGCCTTTGGCCACAAGTTCCATTCTCTGTGTTTTGTTGGCATGGAGCTGAATTCAGCTGCGATTCAGCATCACAGCTAAGCTAATGTAGGGGAAACACTGCTGTTAATCCACAGTGCTGCTGTGCTCTTGGGTTTTGTCTGGTGTTTATATAGACAGAAAGACAGACGGACGGACGGTCCTTCCTTTCTTTCGCTCTCTCTCTCTCTCTCCCTCTCCCTCTCCCTCCCTCCCTTCCATCATTCATTCATTTATTTATTTATTTATTTATTTATTTATTGTCCCCTTAGGGAAATTCTTCTTCACAGGCACTGTCAGGGGTGATTGCTTTTGCCCCTGAATATTATGTCAAACTTTAGCAGGTTATCAAACACTACCACAACAGTCATTGGTCAAGAAGTTTGTTTGGAGTAGGGGCCATGTTTACAGGTTATCAGAATAGACAGTTTTGTTTTGCAGCCAATGGCCAACTATCTACATCTGAATGAGGGAAAGACAAAGCTCATTGTTTTTCACCCCAACAGCAGGAATGTGGATCGTTATGTTGATCTTGGCCCTCTTTCTCCATACTCTAAACCAGTTGTTACCAGTTTGGGGGTGTTTGGGCTTCCTGACAGGGTTGTGGAAGGCGCTTTATAAATAAAGCTTTGATTGATTGATTGATATATTCTGGCTTGTTGAAGTAGAGCAAAACATTTGTGTGGACAGTTTTTTAAATACATGCCATCTCTGTGATCCGTCAAAACATTGTGTTCAGGTGTTTAATGTGATTGTTTACTTTGTTTTAAATTAATGTATTTTTCCTGACAAGTTCTATGGCAATATACAAATGTAATGAAGGATGTATTCCTGTGGTTGTTTAAATGCTTTGATGTAATTGTATTATCGAAATAAATGGTTAAATAACCAAATATTTTGGAGTATTGGGGGTACATTTTTGTCTCTTTAGGTACAAAATAGGTTGTCGCTGGGGGGGGGGGGGGGGGGGGGTACCCTCATAGGTACCTTATTGTACCCTTTTCAAGGGAACATTTCTGTACTATAGTTTGAAGGTACATTTATGTCTTAGGAAAGTACATGACTGTACTTCAGATGGTACAACTTCATAAGGTACAAAATTGTACCAAGCCTAAAGGGTACAGAAATGTCCCTCAAAAAGGAACACCCCCAGCGACAAGCGTTTGTACCCTTTTTGGTACACTTTGGTACTCCTATTTCTGAGAGTGTAGCTTAGAACTACCTTAAATTACGTCAGAGGCTAAGACAAAAAAAATACAGCGTTTTTAAAAGCTTTGCTAAAAAAGGCCCCTTTTTACTCAAAAATCTGTGCTGTTTTGTATTTTAAAATGAAATACCTACAATAAACATTTAAAGCAGTATTTTTTGGACAGTATTTTACATGAATTAGAAAAAAAATAACCTGCAATTTGCTCTTTAACTAAAACATACCTTTCTCTTTGCCGATCAGTTTCTTCTGAAAAATGTCTTTGTCATTTCCAGAAACAATGAAGTGCAATGCATCCTTTTCAGGAGAAATCCTTCTAGGCCTCATTTGTCTGTGGAAAAAAAATTAGACAAGGAACATTTTTAGACAAGGAACATTTTTAGACATGATAACTTGTCTGTACTCATCATCACAACTTGTTTCAAAATAACTGTTTTTACAAAAGTGATGAGCAAGTTAACTTGGGTGAATTCATTAAAAAATATGTATCAGTATTTCTGTAACATAGTTTTAACAATGGACTAAAAAGAATCACAAAATAAATTAGTTAAAATGTGGAACTTACCTTGAGGTTTAGGTTTTGTCCTCCAAAATGTAAAGTGGTTAACACTTTAAACACTTCCTCAACTTTCTCAATTGAACTGTGGTAAAAGGCAAATAATTCAAAGATAGATTTTTGTCATCAAGAGACAACACTTTCTAAAATATGTAGCAAGCACAGAGAGATCGTTAGTCTGTGTGTGTGCATGGGTGAACCGGAGCTCCTGGCTGCAGTTTTGTGTGTAGGGAGGGGCGGGCTCTCTATTTTACTGGCCAATCACCGAGCGTGAAGACAGTCAGTTACCCGATGAGGAGTTTCCTTCAGCAAGATTACGGTTATTTACCAGTTTTTTTTTCAAACAGGTTTTATTAACTTGTTGTTAATACATTCAGAAAATACATTCAATATATCCATGGATCACATTTTACAGTTGTTTACAATTGCAATAACATACATGCAACATTAGGAAACGATTAAACAAAAAAAAACTATAAATAAACAAAAAACGGACGAAAACATGAATAACTTAGAAACATAACACTTAGGGGTCTGCTGTGTCTAAGTTGAAATGATGAAATAAGTTGATGGTCTTTGTTAGTTTATTGTTCTTCTTTTTTAATTTTTCAGTGCTGTTCCAATATCTCCCCTGATGATGTTATCCCACCTCGACTCCTGAAAGAGGTGTTTCCTTTAATTAGCAATAGCGTGCAAGGCATTATAAATAGTAGCTTGACATTGGCTGAAGTTCCTCGTGCCTTTAAACACGCTCTTCTACAACCAATCCTGAAAAAACCCGGCCTTGATCCCACCGATTACTCTAATCTCCGACCAATTTCCAAATTACCGTTTTTATCTAAGGTCCTTGAGAAAATAGTCTATGCACAGTTGGTGAAACATCTAAATGAAATTCAGGTAATGGACATCTGTCAGTCTGGTTTTAGAAAACAGCACAGCACTGAAACTGCTCACGTTCGGGTGTGTAATGACATTTTTCTGGCTTTAGATTCAGGTTTCCATGTGGTTCTGGTACTTTTGGATCTATCCGCAGCATTCGACACGATCGAGCCATTTTCAGAAAGCACGCTGTCTCATACCATTTTTACGCTGACGACTGTCAAATCTACTTTTCATTTAAGCCAACTCAATCAACGAAAGTTCTGTCTGATTGTATCCTTGAGGTCAAGCAATGGCTAGCTGATAAGTTCCTCCATCTTAATGACTCCAAAACTGACTTAATCGTTTTCAGTACTTACAGTACCACGGCGACTCATCAACATGACCTCAGCTATCTCTCACCTAATGTTTTCCTCTGTAATCTCCAACCTTGGAGTAAAAATGGACCAGGCTCTGAAGATGGATGCCCAGGTCAATAACACAGTTTAATCATGTTTTTTCCAACTAAAACGCATCTCGAAACTAAAGCACATCCTGAGTGTCCATCTTCTGAAATCTGTGGTCCACACTTTCATCACCTCAAGGCTGGAGTACTCTAACTCCTGCTTATATGGCATCAGTAAATCAGCTCTTTCTAGACTTCAGCTGGTCCAGAATTCAGCAGCTAGGTTGCAGACTGGAGCTGACAGAAGACAACACATTTCTCCAATTCTGAAATCTCTCCACTGGTTGCCCATGCAGTTCAGGATAAACTTCAAAATTATGCTTCTGACTCACAAATCCTTGAACCATCAAGCTCCTCCATATCTGTGTGAACTTGTCCATTACTACAACCCGCCGCGTGCTCTCAGATCTGAAGATAAGCTCCTCCTAGCTGTTCCGAATGCACGTTTAAAAAGCCGTGGAGAAAGGGCTTTCTCTGTCTGTGCACCCAAGCTGTGGAACGCATTACCACTGCTAGTGAGGCAAGCACCAACAGCTAGCATTTTTAAATCACGCTTGAAAACTCACTACTTCAACCTAGCTTATATAACATAATTATGACCATCACTTACATCTGCATTGTTTAAAAATGGACTTTACAATATCAACTTCCATACTATTGAGGTTCTTTTTTAAAATGTTTTTCTAATTTTTATTCTCCCTGTGTCTTATCGATTTTTAGCTGTTAGCTTTTGGGAATTTTGTTGTATTTCCTTTTTATCTTTTATCTGTGTTCGACATGTTTGTATACCGCCTGTTTGATTAACTAACATTTTTAGTGTACAGCACCTTGTTTGGTTGTAATGCCTTGTGAATGCGCTTTATAAATAAAATTGGATTGGATTGGATTGGATTTCATAAGGTCAGTAATTCTGAAATTATAGAAGGAGGGGATACTTTTCTGAAAAATCATTTTATGTAAATAATATTTTGCTAAAATAATGACTAAGTTAATTATGTATTTTTCATTGGATGATAAATGAGGGTTAGTAACAATAAGAAGTATTTCATATTTGCTTAAAGAAACATTTTTTTTTGTAACTTTCTGGAAATGCATCTTTGTAAATGGAACCAAAACAAAGTTACATGAAAGCAATCAACAAAAACATGTTCTTTAGTTTCTCCCTTACAACCACAGAAAGTACAGATGTCAGAAACATTTGGGGAAAAAATATAGATGTTTGCTTATGACGGGTAATATCTATGAACAATTTTGAATAAAACTTCTTTTATCTTATTCACAATGACATATTGGTGAGGTACCAGAAAGATCCTGTTCCAGAGTTTTGTGTTCATCAAAGTCCATCTATGTTTACATATCGGGGCTGAGACAGGATCAATTACTTTTCTAATAACAGAATTATTACATTTCTTATCTGTGATTGGAATCCCAGAGATAGTTGGAGGTCTGACTGCTGCAGATAACATAAAGTTTGATTTTATGGTCTGTGCTAAAGAGAAAATACAAACAGGGATGGATTTAATTACCATGTTATACTCTTCTTGTGAGTATTAATATTATATTTTTCTAAGAAGTCTTTGTGGGATAATGTTTTGCCAGTTGTATTTAGTAGATTATTCACAGTGTTTACATTATTTAATGACCAATTGTGTAGATAGTGTTTTATTTTTGTTTACAATATATGTATTGTTCCAAATAATACAATTGTGAGGAAAGAAGTTGTGTTTAATATAAGATTCCAACATAATTAAGCTTGTTTATGAAAATTACTTAATTTAACTGGGAGTTTTCCTACTGAGAAAGGACATTTCAACAGAAAGTTAAGTCCACCAACAGCATTAAATAGATTATCTGGGACAATATTCCACATGCTATTAGGGCTTTTAATGAATCTTTTAATCCAATTGATTTTTATAGTTTGGTTAAATGAGGTAAAGGTTAGTACATTAAGGCCCCCTTCAGCCACTGGATTTGAGAGAACAGATCTTTTTACTACCGGACGATGCCCCTAGCAACAAGTCCGGACTTATCACGGACAAGGTGGCTGCTTCAGACCGGTGAAGAAAAGAAGAAGAAAATATAATTTCTATAGCGCCTCTCAAGATAAAAATCACGAGGCGCTTGAGGTCGAGTTCTGGACAGGGAGGGGCGGGAGGAAGAGGGGACCGGGGGACGCTGTGTGCACCTAGATAGCTCGCTCCTGTAGCATGCGGCGAACCATAGCAGCTCGCCTCCTACCGTACCGTCTAGACGCGTGACGGAGCGCTTTACACCGCTTCACACCGCTTCCGTGATTCCTTTAACCATTGAGCTTCATCATCCAGGTCTCTTATGCGTCTTCGTGTGCGCAGAATTATGCTTTACATAAGTCCGATCAGCGAGAAGAATTATATCTCTTCGTCTGCCATGTTTGACTGAATGGCTTTGTTTGGGTAAATTATGCATGTACGCCCGCCGCACCATGTTTACGCAATATCAGGAGCCCCCCCCACCCCCCCCCCCCCCCCCCCCCCCCCCCCCTCACACATCTGGAATTTTTCCCTGCTGTGTGAAGGCAGCAGAAAGGACAAGTTCAGGTACAATAATAAATAGAGGGACAGAAAACGCAGTGATACACAGGAAAAGGGGAGAGACATGGAAGAAACATGGGAGACATAGGACAGAGGACATAAACAATTCCACATTTTTCAGGATCCCATGCCAACCTTTTTTTTTTTTCATTTTTATTCTCATTTTTAAAAATCTTAATTCTTCTTTTCATCTTCAATTTTTTATTAAATTTGACCTCTTTTATATTTTAATTGTTCTTTTGAAGCAACTTGTGCTTTGTTGTTATTAAGCGCAATATAAGAAATCCTTTCTTGTCCTTTGTGTGCTTCTGTGAAGTCTTTGGATGGACAAGTCCAGTTGACCAGATTCAAGACAGGAGAGACAAAGTTGAGCCACTGGGCCAGCCTGAAAGACTGACAACACCCAAGCACATTCCATTGGCCATCATCTGTGGCTGGCAACATTAACAAATGAAAGGCAGCTAACGATCAGATGTTATCAAACCAAGCAGTCATTTGACATTTGAAAGCTCTGGTTGAGCTGGGGTAATCAGAAAATGCTTGGAGTTCTAGTGTTAAATTACTGGTGTTTCCATGGTTAGTGACAAAAATCTGAACACCGGTGTCACATTTAGCTCTGTTCCTGTTTACTTTCACAGGATGCAGCCAAAACTTAGATATTTTTTTGGGTGTTGTATTAGTTTGCAAACTTTGAAGTGTTTTGAGGTGGTGCAGTGGTTAGAGCTGTTGCCTTGTAGCAAGAAGGTCCTGGGTTCACTTCCCGGCATGGGATCTTTCTGCATGGAGTTTGCTTGTTCTCCCTGTGCATGCGTGCGTTCGCTCTGGGTACTCCAGCTTCCTCCCACCGTCCAAAAACATGACTGTTAGGTTGATTGGTCTGTATAAATTGTCCTTAGGTGTGAGTGTGTGTGTGCATGATTGTTTGTCCTGCGTGTCTCCGTAGCCCTTTTCAGATAGACATTCTGGAATATGTGTGGAGAATTCAGTCCGGTTTTTAACCGGAACTGTGTTTTCAGACACACCACTTTTGTACCGGAACTTGTCCTTTCGGCTGCCTTCACACAGCAGGGAAAAGTTCCAGATGTCTGAGAGGGGGGGGGGGGGGGGGGGGGGGGGATCGGACTTATGTAAAGCATAATTCTGCGCACACGAAGATGCATAAGAGACCTGGATGATGAAGCTCAATGGTTAAAGGAATCACTGAAGCGGTGTGAAGCGCTCCGTCGCGGGTCTAGACCAGTGGTTCCCAAACTTATTTAGCCGCACACCCCCTTCTATGTCCCGACCATGTCGACGCACCCCCCAGCCCCCACATCAGGGCATGGCTATATATATATATATATATAAGGCCGGATTAACCATATGGGCAACTGGGCAATTGCCCAGGGCCCACGAACTCTAAAGGGCCCAGGGCAGCCAGGGCACGAGCAAAATACTGCATCTGTAATCTCCCGCTTTATATTAAACTAGGGTGACCGTACGTCCGGTTTTCCCCGTGGATGTCCACTTTTCACTCTCTGTCTGGGGCGTCCGGACTCGGGGTTCTTGTATTGATGAAAATGTCCGGCTTTTGCAGGAGCAGGGATCGAATTATGGGGGAGCTCCATATCCTACACATCCAGGGAAGCCGGATAAAAGTTTTCGACCGATATTACATCATTTATGGACTCGTTTGAGCAGAGAGCGGCGCAGCGCGTTGTTGCGCAGCGCTCGGCTGCTGCTTCCAGCGCACGGTCCATTCTCAAAGTGGCGCAACCAAAAAACTATAATTAGCACACGATCGTTCATGTCCGCACATGTTCTCTATTTTCTGTCTTATTTGTGCCTGAAGCGCTTTGCTACTGCGGAGCTCATCACCTGTGTTGCGGTGATTTCACCTCACGCAGCATCGAAACGCGCTCTCCGCTTTGCGGTCAGGAGATCCCTTTGATCTGCTCAAAAGTAACTGATGAGGTAAAAAAGTAAGAATCCAGGCAGCAGTTTTTCTGGAGAGTTTAGAGGAGATGCAGGAAGATGAGAGACAGACAGGACAGGAAAATAGTTAAATAAAAACAAGAAAACAAAACAAAAAGTAAACTGTAGGTAGATTTACCTCCACTACACGTTCTTACCTGTATAAAACAATGTTACACACATGTAATATTTATACATCTGATACAATTCAGATCACCTTCAACACTCAGTCACACAGCCAGGGCTGTTTCAAGACATTTTGGGGGCCAAGGCAAAATGCCACCCCCCCCCCCCCCCCCCCCCCCCCATAACTGGGCTCCCCAGAAGCCTCTGTGTAATTCATACCCTCTCCAGTACTGTTAGTTATACAGTGTTTGTAAAAAACCCTCGGACATTACTGACATGTTCTAATATTATCAGATGAAGAACTAAACAATCAGACATGCCGTCTCATCTGCTTCTTTTCTAAAGTAGCTAAAAGTAACAAAACCATTTGAAAGCCACTATTTGTGGATTCTCTGAAGTTTCCATGGAGTGTGTGACAACTTATTTTTTCATTGATCCTATCGTCTAATCTCACAGCTGAAACAAGCATCCTTAATAATCTGTGCACAGGAAGCTTACCGATGCTGTAGTAAAACTAAAGGTATAATAATTTATTATTAATAAAACCTTGTTGCTGCACTAAAGCAGAAAAATGAGATTTTGCAGTAAATATGCTAAATATTTACATATTAATTGTTTTGGAGCCCTTTTATCGGCAGAATCTGATATTAATTTAGTTCTTACAAAAAATGGGTCCCAACGTGGTTTGTGTGGCGTTGCCATAGTGTGACGTCCTAGGCACAGATCCCCTGTCCTCCTTTTTGGAAATGGAAATCTGATCACCCTATATTAAAAAAACTGTCCACCCGGGATTTTGCGCTGCACAAAGACGCTTTGCTGCCTATGACTTTGAACGTCAGTTGAGAGTCAGTCTCGTGCAGACTGACCAATGAAGAGAGGGCCTCAAGTTAAGACCCTCTCCTCATTGGTCAGTTTACACGAGGTGGGTCAAAGGTCACCCTGAGCGGGTTAAGTGATGCCAGGCATTCAAGTATTGAGTATATTTACTGCATATTACAGTAATATATTCTGTATGTGACCACATTATGGTGATTCTTGGGTCGTGATGATGGGGCCCTTGAACATTGTTGCCCAGGGTACAACGAAGTGTTAATCTGGCCCTGTATATATATATATATATATATATATATATATATATATATATATATATATATATATATATATATATATATACATATATATATATATATATATATATATATATATATATATATATACATATATATATATATATATATATATATATATATATATATATATATATATATATATATATATATACATATATATATATATATACATATATACATTTATATATATATATATATATGTATATATATATATATATATATGTATATGTATATATATATGTATATATATATACACATATATATATATATATATATATATATATATATATATATATATATATATATTAGGGCCTGCACGACTTTATTTTTTTTAAGTCGACAGTCAAGTAATGAAAGTCCAGTCGACTTCGACTAGTCGTTGATGACGTCATACGCCGGAAGCGGCGGGGGGGTCGGTCGGTAGGTTCGCTGGAATTTTTTGACAATTAAAATTGCGCCCACATTTTCTAAGTTAACACATCTCTTTTAACAACGGTAGTTTCTGCATCCTACTTCAGCCCTCCCCCCCCTCCCCCTGCGCAGCAGCCGCAAACTCACTGATGCGCCTGCAGCCTCTCGGAGTTCCTGCTGCTCTAAACATTAAAATAATTATTTCATTTTCTGTTCCTCACTTCTGATTACCTTCAGTGGTGTCTGTTTGTTGCAACCAGCAGGTACAAAAACTAACTTGTTTTTATTTGACTATTTTTCTGTCCTGCCTGTTTATTATCTTCCTGCATCTCCTCTCAATCCTAAAGAAAAACTGCTACCTGGGTTCATATATATTCACCTTATGAGTTACCTTTGAACTGCAGTTCTAAAAGATCTACCGACCGCTAAAACAGCGGAGTGCCGCTGCTCGCCGGCCGACTACAACGGGACCGTTTTTGCTGCGGAGTTCGTGCCGGAGCGGAGCGGAGATAGTGGAATCTTGGGGGCGCGTCACCGGAGGACAACAGGTGATGCGCATCGCTCCGCAGCAGCGAAATGCATCAGGCACAAATAACAGACAGAAAACATGAAAGGAAATGAGCCGACATGAACGATCGCGTGTTTAATTTGTTTTTGAGGTGGTGACACCTGATTTGGCGGTGCTCAGGATGCAATGTCTGGAGCGCACGTCAGTGATCAGAGCTTTGCATGCACAAACTGGTTAAGATTAGGATGGGGGTGAGGGGAAGGTTAAATTGCAAGAGGGAAAAGGTCACAGTTTGGTTAAATGTCCGTTTTACCGCCGGTGTCAGTACCGCACAGCGCGTCGCCTCCGCCTCGATCCAGACGCGCAGGGGCTCGTCACCTGCTGTCTTTTCCGAGGACTGCATCTTGTCAGTCATTATCACGTGACAGCGACTAGTTGATG